AATGGCAGAGAAATGGAATGCAACTAAAATACACTCAAGTCAGCTGCTGCACACATCTCTCATTCTGAAAGCTGTGGACAATCGAGGACATTTCTTTTTCACTCACAATTACTGAGTCATCACCCACTGAAGCCAGGGCCAGCGTTCACACCATGATCACCCTACCTACTTTCTTTAGTTTCATATTTTTCCCTTGTCAGTTTCTTGTCTCCTTGCCCACAAAACCCACTTTTAAAGAAAAACTCATTGTTCATTTATTATAATTTGGTTGAAATCTCAGGAATCAGGCAGTAGCTCATTTGTCTTTTCTTCCTAATGTGCCTTATTCACTTGACATAATTCCCAGTTGCTTCCGTGACTTAACCTAGTTTTATCACTAATTTAATCTTAGTTCCCTGGCAAGAAAAAAAAATACTCTTACTCATAATGTCATTATTCATATTTACCATGTGAAAAGTAATTCACATTTATTTCGTCATCATCTTGTTGACTCCCCCCTCCCCACATCCCCTGCCTCCTTGCCAGTATTTGGTTCTTAAGAAGCTCTCAGCTCTTCCTAAGTGTCCAAACTCACTATGTCCCTTGCAAATGAGAGCTGACCCTACCACACAGTTGCAGGAAAGCCATTTCCCTTCCTGCTCCTGCTAAGAATATCCAGGCTCTGCTTCTTGGAAGCTGCAGCCCTCTGTGGCTCTCTATTTCCTGTAACATACTTCAGCATCATCCACCTTTCTGCATAGGGAGACCAAACATCCCAGTTCGCCCAGGACTGAGGGGTTTCCCAGGATGTGGGACTTTCAGTGCTAAAACCCAAACCTGGAAAGTCTGGGGCAAACCAGATGAGCCTCTCTCTGCATCACTTTCGACCTCACTCCAGAGCTGATGGGAGCCAGCAGCCAGGAAGCCAGGTGTCTCCTAGAGCAAGAATAAGCAGGGTTGCGTAATGAGGCACCCTGATTAGCTGTGCAATTTGTGCACTGAGCATGGAGACAAACGGAGACTCAATCTGGCCTCTGCTCTGCTACCCTGAGG